CTGTATGGCTTTGAAATAATATAAACATTATCAAATTTTTGACTGCCTTTTTTTAATATACCCAGTACTTGTACTTGTACTTTCACTTATACTTGTATTTTCGATACTTGAGTAGCAATTTTTGAAATACTTCTACTTCCAATACTTAAGTAAAAAAATTTTTTAGTACTTTTGTACTTCCACTTAAGTATGGTGTTGAAAGAACACTTCTACTTTTACTCAAGTATTTTTTTTTATATAGTACTTGTAGTTCTACTCCACTCCTCTACTCCAATACTTTGCCCACTTACAAAGAATGCAACGATCCATAACTTTAATCATATGTACATTCTAATAGTGAAAGACAGAATCCTAAAGAAAATTCCAGAAAATCACACCATACGAATTTATAAAAATTGATAACCATCTGATGAGGAAAAATAGGCATTCTTTGTAAGTGGGCAAACCTGCAAAATCAGCAAGGGGTCAAATACTTATTTCCCCCACTGTACATCTCTGTTTCTTTCAGTGCGGCCACTACGAGCTGGCAGTTGATGAGTGAATTTTTTAACTTCCCCCTTTACCTCTTTGTCGTCCTCGTCTATGTGTTTGATCTTGGTGTAGTCTACGGGCAGGTCCCAGCAGTCTGCGGCGTCCCCCATGCCGTAGCAGCGGGAGCCCAGCAGGGCGGCTTGCCTCTGGGGGGACATGGGCTCCAGAGGGGTCAGCACCGAGTCGCCCAGACGCTTGCTCATGCTCAGGTCCAACGTACCGTTCTCATCAACATCTAGACCGGGGCTCTGGAAGGCGTTTTGGGTGTGTGAGCGGGTGAGTTAGTTGTGTGTTTTAGGTCAGATGATGATGAGGAAGGATAGGGGGGATGTGCACAACATAAAGACGCAGGGATGGAGAGAAAGGGATAAAAGACAGAGAGAGGTTCTGATTACATTGCAGTCAAACATGTTCATTTTTGTTGGATCAGAGGAGGGGAAAAGCATCAACTGAGTATACAGGGTACACACAAAAAAAAGTGCTTGAAAGTCTCATTTTGAAAAACTTTTTTTTTGTATTTTGAAAGACGGATCAAGAACACCCGCAGTTCGAATATCCGAAACAATATTCCGTCGCGTTTCTGCCCAAGTCCGTCAAAAAAGAAGAAACATCAGATGCGCGCAGTGTAGAGTAACAATGTAAGCTCATAAGAGGGTCAAAGGAAGAGGAGGTCATCAGTCCACAAGGACGAGAGCGTTTCTCTGCAAAGCCCTCCTTTCTGCCTCTCTCTGTCTTTCTCTTTCCTCCCATGCCTCTGTGGTTTGTGCCGTGCAGTTGGAAATGTGTGTGTGTGAGTGTGTGTGTATGAACCTAATGTGAACGGACATCATGGGGTTGGGGGGGGGGCTGGAGGTTTGGGGTGGGGTTGGGAGCAGTGATGAGCAGCAGTGGCTTGAACTAGACTGCTGCAAACCCAAAAATAGAAGGCAGGGCTGGGGAGTGTTCTGGAGCAAAGTGGGCCGCATCGACCGGAGAGCATCTGCCTCACACTCCCAGAACCCCCGTCTACCCGATCCATCCAGAATTTCCTTCCCTCAGTTTTGCTTTATTAGAGTTGTGTTTTAGTACACGTGTGCATGTTTCCATCTCCTTTTTTTTTAAACAGGAAAGCCCGCTTTAATGCTGATTCCAGCCGACTTGTCCCTGGGGGGGGGGGTTCTCCTGGTGTCTGAAGCCAAAACCTCTGAGAGACACACTGGCTCCAGCACACGGGGAAATTGATTTCACTGTCCCTGAACCCAGGGAATTCGCGAAAATGGGGAATAAGTGTGAAAAGAAATCTTAGGAAAACCAACTTCATGACCATTAAAAGGGGGTTTAAAAAGTTGTAGGACGCAAACAGAAGGCGGATCGGCTAAAAGCAAATTAAGCTTCTATCTACGCAGTTCTCCGGTCAGCCGGTGTCCCTCCGCGAATGAAGACAGGAGGGGAATGAGTGAGTAAAGGTCAGGCCTCTGCAGAACGGCGTGCGCGGTCGTGACTCGTGGCCGTTCTTACGAAAAAGAACGCCATAAAAACCTCCTCCTCCCTGTCAGCCGTTCCTCTGTGTGTCACCATCCAATTAATAAGGCGCACCCCTTCACATCGAATTAATAGATGTCATCGCAGATCACTCCGTCCCGATCTAGCCCCCCGGTAACCCTTGACCTCTGTTTCCACGGTAACGCCTGCTGTAAAGAGGCCAGCCTGTTAGTTGTCACTTGCTAATTTTCCTCATAATACTTAACCGCTAATCAACACCATGTCACATTTTTTCCTCTGTGGCCCTTTCTTCTCTTTTTTTTTGCTCAGTATTCTTTGTGGACGTACTCTTTTTTTTCTGTTTGCTCTTTGACTTAAAAATCTGCAACATTTGCCTCTTAAATCAAACACTTTGCAACTAATGCATCTTGTAGCAATTTTTTTTTTAAGAACTCAAGGTTCTTCGAAGCTAAGATAAAATATTATTATTAATTCTAACTAGAAATAAAAAGAAAAAAATAGAGAGTTTTTAATTTGCACAGGTCTCGTAAACTGCTGGTAATTTAGGATTTAGTATTAAAATATGTTTATTGCCACATTATTACAGAAAAATTGGCGGCTTAAGTTAACAGTTAGCATTAATGACAGCATTTAATTTTTTTTTATTTTATATATTTAAGTGGATTTAATCAGATTTATACACAGAGTATAGTGATTGAAGTTATAGATATTCAGTGCCCTCTATCTGACTTCAGACACACTGCACGGTTAACCTGCGAGGCATTTACTTGGACATAACATTTCTCTCAAAACAGTTTAAGTCAGATAAACAAATAAAAAACAGAAGTCTGTCTGACCCATTTCATGCACCATTGTGGCTTTAAATGTGCAGAAAATATGTGCAGAGTTCCCTCTTTACCTTAGAATCCATTGAAAATTCAGATTTGTGTGTTTTTGTGTCTTTTGATTCATGTTTTCCTCCGGACTACTCTGCCTAGCCTCAGTTCAATTTCAGCTTCTCATTCCAAATCATTTTCAAGTGCTCTCTCTTTGGTCCTGAGACCCGTCTGCTGCGCTGGTCCTCTGAGAAACCATCAGCTTCAATAAATACGTTTTCCCCACTTTGTGAAGGACACACATCCGTGCTTGTTACTGCGAAAGATTCCTCCTTTGGGTTGTTCCTTAAATAAACAGCAATGGAGACTAAACGTGCTTGTAAGAGGGCTGGATTGTTTACTGATGCTTCAGTCCAAAAATTCTTCCGTATCTTCTGGTCCTTTATTAACTTTTAGCCCAAAACGTCTCTCATCAAAGCAAAACAGTCACAAAATAATCCATTGATGTCGGGCCAGAGACATGAAATTATCATCCACTTTCTTCTCCGACCTGTTGTTCCCATAATAATGTTTTATTGTGATATACCCTCATCTTCAGTCTGTAAATATCACTGATTGTTGTGCGAGCGGGAAGTTTGGTTCAGACGAAAAAACGAACAGTGAGCCGTGAGGTGAGATGAAAGAAGAGGGAGGAAAAAACGGCACTCTGAAGCCTCTTATCTTCCCGTTCTGTCCTGAGAGCTTCCTGCTCACACGCAGGACCACAGAAAACAAAACGAGGTGGAACCGGAGGAAGTCCTGACTGCTTCAGGAGGGGGTTCTGTCCCACTTTACTGTGGAAAGAAGTTGCTTATGGCTGTTTATCTCTCTCCCCTCTGCTCCTTTTTACTTCGTTTTTGTGAGTCCATCTCTCTTTTCTTGCACTGTGGCCTTTAAAAAGCTCCCGCCAAACCCCACCTCTGTGCTCCATATCTCCCCGGTTCTGATTTTCTTGCAGCATCTGCTGTCAACAGCAGCATTATACCAACATTACCCCTCCGCTGTGCACTCCTTCCCTTGGCCTCCATTTTCCAGCTTAGCACCTGGGTGCAGATAATGCAGGAGCACAGTCACCTTATCTCCTCCGAAATGACACACTGGACTCACGGCGTGTCAAACGGCGCCGCGTCCTGTTCCTATCTGATTCCCACATGGAAAATAAAGAAAGTGCCCCGCCGAGCCCCCGAGTGTAAGAAACAGCCCCGATTTTTCATGGAAAGTGTATGTATGTGTGGTATCGGGAGCCTGAGTGTCCTTATCTTTTCTAAGGTTCCTCTGCCAGCATTAGGATAATGAAGGAAACACAGAGATAATATGCGAGTGGATTTTCCGTGACTACTGAAGGAGATCAAAGTCTTTTAAAGGTGACATATGTGTGTGAGATATCTGAGGGTTTAGGGTCAGAGCGGGATAAGCTTCTGGCTTTACAAAAAGAAATATTCGTCGGATTTATGTTTTGCCTCCTCAAATGACTAGGGATGGGGATCGTTAATATTTATCGATATCGATACCTTTATCGATACTCCTTATCGATCCGAGTCTTTATCGATACCACTATCGATACTTTTCGGTTATTTGGTGGAAAGACGATGCGACAATATTTAGCAAATAAATAATTGCATTGCATTGTAATTTTTAACAAATGTTGGCATCAGTAGTTTAATTATATATTCTAAAATAATTAGAGCAATA